TATTATTATTATTATTTATTGTTATTTATTATTATTATTATTATTATTATTATTATTATTATACTATTATTATTATTATTATTATTATTATTATTATTATTATTATTATTATTATTATTATTATTATTATTATTATTATCATCATCATCATTATTATTATTATTATTGTTATTATTTATTATTATTATTATTATTACTATTGCTATTATTAGTATTAGTAATATAATACTACTATATAATACTAATACTACTCGTAGTATTAATAGTATTAGTATTAAATAGTGTTAGTGAGAAAATTAGGAACGATTAAATGGTAAAAACTTGGGTTATTTGTTTAATTGATTAATTAAGGCCATATTTTTAATTGATTAATTACCTGTTACAGCTATTATATTATTGTTGCCATAATTTGATAACACAACAATGAGATTGAAAAATATTGTGGCAGTAAATAGTATAAGTATAATAATTGGGAATAATTAATTAATATATGCCTAATTTATTTGCTTAAATGATTAATTAATCTATAGGGCAACAGGTCTATCCAAAAATCAGCATATTTCTTCGTCGTTTTCCTTTCATTGAAGATGAAAAACAAATTTGCTATAAATATTATTTCTTTATTATCAATAATTAATAGACTAATTAACGAGTTAAACAAAAACTAACGAAATTATAAATTTGAGACCAAATTACAATTATCCAAAAATTTTTTTGTCTTATGATATTAATAATTATAGTTTACAGAATCAAAATTCCGATATGTTTAATACGTCATCCTAAAAGATGAATTGAAAAATTCTTTCGAAAATAAATATTAATTTAAAACTGTCCAATGTCGAACTAATTAATTATAGCCTAATTAATCATTTCTTAACTTCTTCCTTCCTGCCCGTTACCTAAACTTACTATTATTTCGATCTAGTATTGATTCATTGTTTTAATCTAATACTGATAAAATGACACGAAAACTACGGGAAAACTGATAATAATGATAACAATAGTAATAATAATAATAATGATAGTGATAACAATAATAATAATAAAACTAATAATAAATAATAATAATAATAATAATAATAATAATAATAATAATAATAATAATAATAATAATGGTAATAACAATAATAGTAATAATAATAATAACGATAATAATAATAACAATAAATTTCCTTAAATAATACCATGTTATTATCCAACTAACCATACATAAATTCAGTTGCATACCTCTCATTTTAAAAATATTTTCCCAATGACTTAAAGAAAAGCCATTTTATTCACTTTTTTTTATCGAATCGTAAATTATTATATTATTTTCAAAAATTGCAACTCGTTTTACATCATTTTCATCAAAAAATTATATGCATTTTCTTTCTCTCATCAGTAATTT